ATAAAAATAATAATAATAATATAATATTAAAATAATAAAAAAAACGGACAGAGAATAAAGTGATGTGTTGCGAGAAGATAATTAAAAAAAAAGTTATCTTCTGACGAAAGGAAAATTAAGAAGGATAAAAAAATGAGAAGAAAGAAAATGGTCGCCGTTCGAAAGGTGTGTGCGCGAAGAAAGGGCGTGCGTGTGTCTCTGCGACGATTGATCGATGTATGCCTTCGTTGCTAACTGTACATATAAAGTAACCAAATTTACGATTAATCGTTTATATATACATATAACGTATATATATATATATATATTAATCGTAAATCGATGTGCGCATTTATCGCATCTCTACAGCGGCGACCGAGGTGCGTGTGTTGTGCCGATAAAAAAAAAATAAAAAAGACGAAAATAAAGAAGGAAGGAAAGGAAATAAAGGAAGAAAAGGAGAAGGGGAAGAAAAAAAATTAAAGAAGAAAGAAGAAATGGTTTCTTTTCTAACGATCATTTATTGGTCCCCAATAGCGGCGTGGACCATCGATTAGGATTTTAAACGAACGTAAAATAAATAAATAAATAAATGAAAATGAAAATGAATGAAAATAAATAAATAAATAAATAAATAGACAGTTTTTTAGCGATTAAGCGTGCGAACGAATTCGCCAATCGATCTGCCCGATCGATTCGAATTCGATCGATCAACTATATTTGTAAATGTGTTTAAAAATCACGCGCGCGCGTCGACCAACTGATTCCGTTCGATAATTGGATTGGTCGACAATTTTTAAACGAAAAAAGAGAAACATTTCCATCCACCGCTATAAAAAAAAAAATTTTGCCGAAAAAGTAATCACTTCATCATTTTCTGCGTTCTCTCTTGTTTTTTAATATAAGTTTCTCTTTTATATTAATTTTTTAAATCATTCTTTTTTATTGCGAATTATCAGAAATAAACGATGCGAATTTTAAGGAGAAGAGTAATACGATAACTAATTAATTTCATTCATTCATTCATTCATTCGTTCGTTCGTTCGTTCGTTCGCTCATTCATTCATTGATTTATTGATTTATGGGTAAATATATAGATATACATATAAAAGAATAAAAAGAAGAGAAGAAAAAGAAGAATTAAAAAATGAAAAAAAAAAGTAAAGAAAGAAACAAACAAAATTGACGATTAATTAAACGATATGGGTATATACATTGGATGGTATGTCGTATGTATATGTGTACATATATACACTTTATACTGGCGCGAGCGTGCGTGTACGTATACGCAGTATCCGTGAGAGAGGGGAAGATCGTGCGTACGTGTTGGTGATTGCGTGTCGAGATTTCGCACGCGAGTCTCCTTCTTCTTGTATTAAACTAAATAATATAAAAAGAACAAAAATTAATTGAAAATAAAATAAAATAAAATAAAAATAAAAAAAAAAGAAACATGCCATACTGCACGTACGCACGTGTCGCAACGAGCATATTATTTATACTTACATGCATTCGAGAAAGGGAGAGAGAGAGAGAGAGAGAGAGAGAAAGAGAGAGAGAAAGAGAGAGAGAGAGAGAAAGAAAGCGAAAGCGAAAGCGAAAGCAAAAGAGACAGATAGAGATAAAAAAAAAGAAAAAGTGAGAAAAAAATAATGAAAGAGAGAAAAAAAAAAGAAAAAGGAAAAAGGAAATGAGATTTGTTGTGTCGTGGGTAAAAACAGACTGTGCGTTAGTTAGTAAGTATTAATCTAAATGAATATGGCCGCGCGCGAGGCCAGCTCGATGTGACGGTTGTGTTGAGTGTGCGTGCTTCCCCTCCTTGGTCTCCAAGTTCATCGTTCCATTTTATCATTAATCGTTCGTGCCCTCTCATCGTTGTAATCCCTACCCTATTATCAAAACACATACACGCGTATATACGTATTTACATACATACGCAAAGAGTCAAAAAGTACCTAATCTACTTCACCCCAACCCCCTCTACCCAATCTCATTGATATCGCTCGAGAGAATAAAAACCACCTTCTTCACTCCTCTCTCTTTCCTCTCTCTCTCACTCTCTCTCTCTCTCTCTCTCTCTCTCTCTCTCTCTCTCTCTCTCTCTCTCTTTCTCTCTATCTATCTACCTATCTATCTACCTATCTATCTATCTATCTATCTATCTATCTATCTATCTCATCGCATCGCTCATAAAATATGTTTCCTCACCGTTTTAAAAAGCATCAACGTTTTCTCTCTTTCATCCCTCACTTTCGGTCGCGTGGTGCTACCCTAACACACCTCTTTCGCACCCCACCATTCAATCGATCCATCCATTTATCCATTCATTCATCCATTCATCCATCCATTCATCCATCCATCCATCCATTCATCCAAGTATTAATTCATCCAAACCTTCTGCCATCTCGATCGATCCCCCTCTCAAAAAACCCCTTTGTAATGCTTCAACGCCTCCGTCGTCATGTTGTTGTCATTCTTAATTATTGTAATATATAATGAATAACGATCATTGTTGAGTATTGTCTGATTGTAATACATTGATATTGAATTGATATGAATTGATAATCATTAATTAAAAAAGCGTAATATTAAACTTTGTGGATGTAGCTAATATTGGTGTGACCGAAAGAACGAGAGAATATGTTTTGTTATGTATGCATGAAAGTATGCATGAAAGAAAGAAAGAAAGAAAGAAAGAAAGAAAGAAAGAAAGAAAGAGAGAACGAAAGGAAATGTTTGAAAGAGAGAGAAAGAAAAGTCGCGTTATAGAATAAAAATATACGAGCGACAGAAGAATCATCGATCGCAATGGACGACGTTTGGCGAGCGTAATTTATATACATATACATATACATATACATATAATACGTTTACTCTCGAAATCGCTAAGATACAAAAAGAAACTAAAGAAAAAACTGTAAATCATCTTTTCTTCGTAAGATTCAAAATGATGTCCACCATAATGATAATCTGTCAGAGTAAATATAACGTCGCTGGAAAATGAAGGAAGAAAAGAACTTATCAAGGCAGAATTTTTAATCGATTTAACGGGAAAACTTACGCTACCAAAGTTACCCTCCAAAAACAAGCCCCTAACATACGATCCCCCTTGACGTATTGTATAATTTATATTATTTTTAATAAATGTATGATATATAGACACCGATTTGTGTCTCTTCTCGACAAACTCGTGACAATGCGATCGGACGAGATACAAAAAATAACATGATGAATCGTCCGAGGTATGAATATACATATATGTGCGTACGTATGCGTGTATGTGTATGTCTCTATGTGGATGTGTTCGTTCGTTCGTTCGTTAGTTCGTGTATGTTTCTCGTGCGTGATTTTAAAACAGGTGATGATAATGATTATGATGATGGTGGTGGGTGCGCGTCCTGTGCGTCAATTCAATGTGAAGTTGTTCGTGGAGAAAAAAATATTTATTGGCTCGAAAAAAGTACTAACGAAAAAATAAAAAATCACTGACGAAGAAGAAGAAGAAGAATAAACGATTTGGATTAGATAGATGGTGACCGAAAGGTAAGGAAAGTAAGCAAATAAATACTTACATAAACGAACGAGTTGAAAAGAGACGCGGGAGATATTGATAAGTTGCTCGGGGTGGGGAGAAAAATGAAAGAGAAAGGGAGAGAAAAATGGAAAAAGCGTAAAGACGCACAACGGAAATGGGCAAGGCCAGACAGGGTAAAAATAAAGAAAACAAAATAAAAATAAACAGCGAGATATGAAGAGAGGTGTCGAGAGTGAATATTTTAATAATGGCGGACGAAGTCTGGAAAGGCGCTGATAATATCGAAGACTAAACGTGGGAGAAGACGATGAACTAATAAAGACGAAAGAAAACAAAGACAAAGAGAGAAAGAGAGAGAAAGAGAGAGGTCGTGAAAGAGAACAGTAATCGTATTAACCCTTTACACTTAACAAATATGGCGTCTATATAAAATAATAAAATGTCTATACAATAATGGTGAATTTTCTTTCATTCATATCATTTATCTGTCATTTCTTATCTCAATAAGAAATCGATAATTCGTAATAGATTAAAGTGTAAAGGTTTAATGTCGGATTTTTCGGATTATTTGTACGATTTGCTGGAATCGCAATTAAAAATTAAAAGAGGAAGAGAGAGAGAGAGAGAGAGAGAGAAAGAGAGAGATAAAATTCAAATCAGACTTTAATCCCTGAACTCTTTCGATCGTCGTTACTCTGTGAAATATCGAGGATTTTGTAAGAATGATGGGAAGGGCTGAGGGGAATTAAAGGGCATATATCTCCTTCGCACACGTCGACTTCAAAATGGTACTAATAAACCCAAAGTGCCTCTGGTAGATTTTGGGGCATAAGCTTCACTAATAAAGATTACATAAGCGTTTTATCTTATAAATAAAAAGGAGAGTAAATCTGAATGGAGGAAAAAAGAAGCAAGGGAAAAAAAGAAAGATGGTGGATGGACTAATCGAGCAAAGAAAGGAGAAAGAGAGAGAGAGAGAGAGAGAGATTAAAGGGAACGAACGAATATTAAAGAATTTTATCGGAGAAAGAGTTTAAACAGAACGTATGTATATACGTAAGTACATATGTACGTCGAGTAAGAGACTATTTAGATAGGCATAACATATAGTCGGTAGTATAGTTTCTATGTCAATAGTCTCGTCTGCTGCCCTGAGTGTCTTTCCCAGATGGTATACACGATATATCTCCAGGATATGCATATTATTCCTTGAAGAAAAAAACGACGCCGTATATCTTGACGAATAGCATGCCCTTCTGATCCCTCAAACTTTCCAACTCTTTAAACCTTCGATCTTTCTTGTAATAATAAAGCCATTGCGTTTGTCTATCGTCATCTCGATGACTTCCATCTCAACTCTCTTTCTCTCTCTTTGTTTTACCTCGCATTAAATCAGTTTCATCGTGTGATAGGTCGTTTTGCCACATCGACTCCCTTCTCCTCTCCCCCTCTTAACGTTATTACCCCCAGTATCAAATCCCCCAGTCCTCTAAATCGGCACGTTTTGCTAAATAAAATATTATCATTGTATCATCGATGGTTCCTTATTAATTATGAAATATACAAGTCCCCACAATTTGTAAGAGATTTCGAGTATTAAGAAGATCTGTGTATGTATGTGTGTGTGTATGTCTGTGCGTGTGAGTATCTATCTCCATTCGTAACGCATGGCTTTGCCGTCGACGACCCTAAATTTCCTACCACTCCCATGCCTCCTACACCAATCGGTTTTCTGATGATATCTAGGATGACGGGTTCAACTATCCCGCGCGTTGTCACGTCTAACATAAGTTATGCTCTGATAAATGTACGATTGAATTTAGAAACGTGAGCGCGCCTCTCCGAGTGTTTGGTGTTTCTTCGGGTGTATACGTCTGCCTGTGTGTGACTGTGTATACTGTGTGAAGTCTATTTTCTTTCTTCTTTATATTCTTTCTCTCCTCTCTCTCTCACACTCTCTTCCTCCTCAGTCTTTAACTTTACTTATTTTTATCCTTGAAAAATCTGTCTCTGTGAAAATATAAAAAACTGATAAAAACAAAATAAAATAGATTATCAACGATAAAGATAAGAATGAAGGAGGGGAGAGGAGGGGAGAGAGAGAGAAAATATATTGAGAGAAAGAGATAGAGAAATGATGTGAAAAAGAATCGAGCGAATGTTTTTAGACTGTGCAAGACTGAGAGAAACAGCGGAAGGAGCAGACCGATCGCATCCATGGTCGCTTCCTCGCCGCTCATTTTTACGTCATAAACATTAATTACGATTATACATATTGAGAGATACAAGGTGCAAGAGGCAAGATAAAACGAAAAAAATAAAAGGTTTAAAATACATGGAAAGAAAATAATGCATCATGCATGAAGAGGAAGAGCAGGATTACGTTACGTTTATAATAGTCATGTTCCTTTCCAATCGATAATTATTAAAAATAATAAATCTCTATATCAATCCTTGCTACAATATTATTTTGTACTTGTTTTATTATAATATCTCTTAATATATTATATATAAATATATTATAAATAATGCCGTTTTTAGGTTATTCGACTTTTATTATTATTATTATTATTATTATTATTATTATTATTATTATTATTATTATTATTTTTGTATAAATGTGTGATTAATAGTACGAATAGTGTAATAATTTTGTATGTTTATTGAACCAAAAATAAATATTATTGATAAAGAAAAAAATAGGGCGAAGTGCAAGAACTTGGTGAATCTCTATAAAAAACACAAAGATATTTTATCATTATATAAAATATAATAAATTAGTTTTCCGTTTCCTTGTTCATCGGCTTATCAGCTTCTTCGTCCATTACCCTCGCCGCGTCGGTATCATTTGAGCGTCGCTCGTTATTATGTCGAAGACTTTGTGGGCCCACCGTGCTCAGTACGATGGGTAGGAGCAACAAGCCGTGCCAAAGGCCAAATAATATTACTAAGAAAAATATTTTGAAAAACGCACGGAACACATAGGCATCCGAAAAAGCTAACATCGAGAGGGCTAACAATGTTGAGCCCGCACCATATGCCACAGCAGCTCCAATGTGTTTTACTGCGATCAATGCTCTTATCTTACGATCTTGATTGTTATTTTTCTTTGACGAGGCATTCAGAAAAGCATGTGCTACGTGTGCGGCATAATCCACACTCAAACCAACCGCTAACTCTAGACCTGTTTAAATCATATTAACGACAAATGTTTTATTCGTTACCTTAGATACAATCAGATTCGGTATTAGAAACAACTCACCTATGCATGAAACTATGTCTATTGTTAATCCCCAGAAATACATAAACCCACAAACATTAAGAAGCGTCAGAAGTACACACAACAAGATCCAGAAACATGTTTGCGGTTCTGCTATCAGAACCGCGGTAGTACCCATTACACAAATAAGAGCTAAAATAATATTTCGCAAGACTTCCTGTGCGATCAATTTATCAGTCACCCAAGTACTAAACATTTTACTCCAAATCGTCACGAATCCATTGATTCCAGTTTCCCTCGCAACTTGTTTAGTATCGTCCATCGCTGGAATCCATTGGTGAGGACCGGTAAATTTGGTAAAGAAAAATTCTATAGTAGCAATTAAAATGCGAGGTGCGTCTTCTCCGCACTTGAGTTTTCCATCGAAGTGAAAATTCATTTGATATTTTCCACCCATACGACTAAAGAGAAATTTCGATAAATATCGTTGAAAATCTTCGTTCTTGATCTTGTTCGTTGTTAAGTCTAAAGATAAATCAAAACTATATTAACAAATTATATCATTCGCGAATATCTTCAGACATACCTGCTTGATAAAATTTTTGCACAAAATTTGCAAACTCCTCTGGCCAAGAATCGACTTTCTCCACTGACGATAAATTTTTCAAATTTGAAGCAAGCGTCATTATTTTAGAGAATTCCGACGTATAATCAATGTCACCAATAAAAACGTAAGCACTGTGACCTCTTTGAGAAAAGTATTGATTCCTTGCAACTATGTAGTCGCTCAAATGAGTACCTTTTGGTAAAAACCATATTGGATCAAACCACTGTTCCAATTGATACGAACCAACTGCACCTACCGATGCTGCTATTATCGTGATCAGTAGAATAGTTAACTTTCCAGGTACAGTTAGAACGATCTTTGAATACAAGCGATCTATTAATTTCGTTGAGAATGTTTCGTTGGGATCGACAATTTTTGAAATATAATTTTCATGAACTATACAAGGTATGAAACCATTTCTTTTCTGTTGGATTCGTTTCGCATCCAAGGTAAAAAAAGCGACAAAAAATGTGATTTGTAATAAAAACGTCACGAGAACTCCGACTGCAGCGTAAATACAAAATGATTGGAGCGACGGTAATATCTGAAAATTAATTATACTTAAATATTTCTTCAATTTATAGTCATAAAAATGATGAATGCATACCGTCGATGCACCGATAATAAATGCAACGACATCGGTAAACGATGTGATGCAAATAGCAGAACCCGCATGGCCCAATGCTAGACCTATCCTTTCATGCAATGCTTTTTTTCTATTTTCTTCGAGCGAATGTATTTGCTTCCAAGAAGCCATCATTACGAACAAATCGTCTATTCCAAGACCCAGTAACATAAATGGTAAGGATGTATGTACTGGACCATAAGGAATTCCAATTGCTGAACATACACCAATGGATATTATGAAGGCACCACCAACGCAAAGTAATCCAGTCACAGTGAGGCAAAACTATTTCAAATAAAAATATCAACATAGTATATATGTATGAAACAATTTGTATAAGTGTCAAATTATAGAACCATTATAATTACCCTCCATTCTACCCAGTTGAAATTAGAAAGAATTAATTGAACGTAAAAGAACATCAACAATATTCCTATTGCTAATTTATCTATATCTTGAAACAAGGTAGACGAACTAATGTCTCCAAAACTTCTACCTGCTTCATAAAATAATCCCAACGTTTCATTACGATAGTGATTATTATTCCAATTTTTTAATTTTGTTGAAGCTTTTTCTAGAGTAAGGAGAAATCCTGATTCCCACTTCAATGCTTCTTCCGTCGCCTGAGTATAAATTATCATTAAGAATAAAAATCTTATTACTAATTATCTTTCTATTAATTTTAATATGGTGTACATTTAATTATTCATTTCTGAAAACCAATGATTAAGTTAAGATAGACTATTACGAGTAGTATGTATACTTATACATCATTTTATGCAGTTAGTCTTTATGTACAAATTACTAAATATGTATTCCAATCACTTTTCAACTACCTATTATATAAACACTAATTATTAACACTTTGAAAATAAAATGTAATCGAATATGTGGTTCACCTTGTCTCATCTATTCTTCATTTCTACTTTTTTTTTTAACTTCAATAAAAGAGAAAAAAATATTTAATTTGTAATATTCACATAAATTATACATATGCAAAAACATAATGTATAGGCATTAAAAATGACATAGAGACTTACCTTACCCAATCAGCTGTTCCAGCATCATTTCCAAACGTGTCCATGTCTATGTTAGAAAAGTTAACGCGCACCATGAACTGCGTTTTAAGTGCTTTGGCTGACACGATTCTCCCATTTTTGTCTCTTGTAACGTCGCCTAGGAGATCGGTGAAATTCATAGGATGACCAAGAGTAGGGCTGACTTTAACAGTATTTATCCTCATAATGATATCTTCTTTTGTTTGATTCTTGATCCTATTGCTGTCATATTCCCAAAGATCAAGTATGCTATACATAAAACAAACTCTCGGTAAACTATCATATATTCTGCAATATAAATTAGTATCTGCATGCACAGCCGGTTCAAATACTGTTTTATTTAAATCTGCAGAAGGTTCTTCTTCAAAGAATTCATTGTCCAAATAATTCGTACTCCTTGTATTTCGGATATGACCCTTTATGGAAGGTATTCTATCAACAAAGCAGAATTTTTAGTATTGTTTGCAGCTTTTTAGATATATAATAACTTACTTAAAGCACACATCTGTCCATGAAATATGAGCATGTATACCAGGAACTTTAGTTAATACCACTTGTTTTGTGATTTCATTCAACTGAAAATAATGCGTATCAATGTAATTACTTATTTTGAATAATATAGAAAAATTAATAAGAGGGTAAAAATTGATAACATAATATAGTAGTAGTGTTCGAAAAGTTATAGTAGAATAACGTTTTTAAAAATTGACTCTATATATAAGATAGTGAAAACTTATGACTGTAATAAAAATGATGTTATATTGACTTATGAACATAACTA